TGTGTCTGTGTGAGGAGGAGGAAAAAAGAGTAAGATGGTAAGGAGCTGGACTAGTAGGAGAAGGAGAGGGGAAGAGGAGTAAGAAGATGACAGTGTAAGGTTGTGTGTATCTATGTGAGGAGGAGGAAGGAAGAACATGGCAAGGAAAAAGAGGAGGCATGGAGTAGCCGGAGGAAGATGGTAAGGCTATGTGTGTTTGTGTGAGGAGGAGGAAGAACATAGCTGGAGGTTAAGGATGTGGGTTACTAACACAGCCCCCAATCCTTACAGGCCGTCTGGCGCCAAAAGTATAAGTTCGGAGTTGTCCCTCCTGCTGCGGAGCACCGACGCCCGGTGGTTCTCTTCATCGCAATTTTCTTCGCTCGGGGAGTCAAACCCTTTGCAGACGACTTAGACATTAAAAAAAAAAAGCAAAAAAATTACAGACATAGCCCTTCAATCTTAAGTTCACACAAGAACGACAGTAAAAAGGTAGAAAAGCTCCTTTAAGGGCCAGAAAAGAACATATCTTGTTCGAGATTGGATTTTTGTGGGTTCTTTTCCGACCCTTAAAGGAGTGTTTCTACCATTTTGGTGTCGTTCTTGCCTGAACTTATAGGGCTATGTCTGTAACCTTGGCTTAGAAGAAGGACGGTATAAAAAAAACGGATGAACAAGCCTACAATGACCTTTGCAAATAACATAAACGAGACAATTCAGGTAGGTTGCACCTACAATCCTAAATCCCTTTAGCAAGGTAAGGAACAAGAAGAAATAAGAAAGACAAGTCCTTGACAAAAATTCCACGTCGTGCATTTTGCGTTCCTTCTCTTATATTTAGAGAACTGTTTTCTTCATTTCGTTGTCTTTGTTGTCTGTATCTGAACTGCAACACTTTATCTAGAACATTGGCGAACACTGCATGTTCTTCTCCGACCTTTCAACGACTAGTTTTGTTTCCATTTCGCTTTCATTGCTATCTGAATCGGAACTACAGGGCTAGATCTCTAACCGTGGTTGTTAAGGAAGAACACGGAAAGAAGACTGTCCTTCACAACAACGGTTAGAGATATAGCCCTATAAGTCCGAATCAGACAACATTGAAAGTGAAATGGAAAAAACTAGTTCTTTAAAGGTCGGAGAAGAACATGCAGTGTTCGTCAAGGTTCTAGATAAAGTGCTACAACTCCGATTCAGACAACAAAGACAACGAAATGAAAAAATAGTCCTCTAAAGGTCAAAGAACAATTTAAATAAATGACAAAATTATAAGAAATATGGCAACTTATTATTAAATCATTAGATCCGAAACACCCACTCAAGGTAGAGGACGAAATGAGAAAAACAATCCTTCAAGCATTTGTGTCAAATTCCTCGTCCAATAGTACATGTTCTCCTCTGACCTTTCAAGGTCCATTTTTTTTTCATTTCGCAGTCAGTGTTGCCTGAATCGGAAGTACAAGGCTATATCTTTAACCTCGGTTGTGGACGCAAAGTCATCTCGCAGTCAGTGTTGCTTGACTCAGAAGTATAGGGCTATATCTTTAGCCTCGGTTGTGGACGCACAGTTTCGTTATACATTATTTTGAAGAACGAATAATCAGATTGTCTCTAACAAAAACTGTTCTATTTCGCCCATCGAAGGACTGTACCTTACAGCGGAATGATCAAATACAGTTTTTCTCTTTCTCTCTCTTTCTCTCTCTCTCTCTCTCTCTCTCTCTCTCTCTCCCTCTCTCTCTCTCTCTCTCTCTCTCTCTCT